ATGGCAGTGACGGGCGATGTCTCACATGGAGCGTGCTGGATAGGGACCAGCACATGCTCACTTTTCCAGGGTCGCCTCAAAGGCTCCCTCACCAGTCAGCTGGTGCCACAACTCAGGAAGTGGGGATGTTGTCAACGCCTTGTTTCAAGGAATGAACCAAAAAACCGCACTGACACTTCCAGTCCGGCACAGTGGCAAGCGAAGCATTGCAGCTGTGTCTTTTCCGCGGGCCGGGGCTGGTTCTCAACATCAGCTACGCCTTGCGAGGTTCCGCATATTCGGTCACTCGCAAGTATAGCAAGAGGGAAGCGAGGGAAGCTTGTTGTTGGGGCAGCTGTTGGGGGCCATGCTTGGGGCCAGGCCTCGTCGAAGCATTCTTTAATCCTTGTGATCTGCAAGCCAAAAGTAAGGGCCGTCTTTTCAGGTGTTGCCTCGCGATGCCTTGCGTGGCTGTTCATTAAGGGCAACTGGCTCTTGTGTTCTCCAGACATTTTTGGCTGCCCTCGTGTTCACAGTGCCTGCTGCCCGCCATGCCTGCTCGAGGCCTGAGTCTGCGCAAGATGTCCCAAATGTGAGAATTGCTATTGGACGCTGCAGGCGAGGCAGATGCCGAACTTGATGGTTGCGCAGCTATGTGCCTTGAAGGCTGGGTGCTGCGAAGATATAGGGGGCAGACAAGGTCTGGAAAGCGACTAGCTATTGAAAGTCTATCACGGGTGGAAGGAGGGATGGATCTTGACTTTTCCACTAATTAGAAGCTGAGCTTTCTGGCTGCGGGGGTATCAAGATTTGTCCCGTTCAAGTGCTGTGCTTGAGCATGTACAGTTCAGGTGCCTGCAAAGGTCTCCATGCATGGTTGCGTGGCTCAAGGTTTTGGGAGATGTAGCTTACGTGGGGGGGGGGGGGGGGGNNGCAGAATTGATGTCTCGATGCTTGATGCTTACCATGTCAATCTCGCAGATCCGACCGTGCGTTGGTCGAGCATTCCTGTGTGCTCATGTGATCTTCATGCTGACCTGGTTTCTGACTGACTGTTGCTCTTCATATCACAAAAGCCAATGGTATTGCTTCAAGACGGTTATGATGTGACAACGGCTGTGTCGTCATGTTTCTTATCTTCATCATTCGCATCATCCGCGTTGAATATGCATAATTGTTGCAGACGTGATTGTGGTGGCTGCTTTCTCAGTCACTGCGATGATTTGTTGTACCACTAACATTACCGCCGCCCCCGCCGCAACCACCGCCGCCACAGCCACCGCCG